GTTTTTGGTGGTTGGGGGGGGAATTTGAGGAGGATTTGGGCGGAATTTGGGGAATTTTGGGGTTTTGTGGAATTTTGGGGGGTCCTGGGGGAGACTTGGGGGAATTTTGGGAGGATTTTGGGTGGATTTGGGGGAATCCTGGGGGGTCTTGGGTGGGTTTTGGGGGTCCTGGGGGGAATTTTGGGGGCCACGAGTTGATTTTTGGGGTTTTTTTGAGTTTTTTGGTGTTTTTTGAGTTTTTTGGTGTTTTTTTGAGTTTTTTTTTGTGTTTTTTGAGTTTTTTGGGGGTTTTTTGAGTTTTTTGGTGTTTTTTTGAGGGTTTTTTTGTGTTTTTTGAGTTTTTGGTGTTTTTTTGAGTTTTTTGGGATTTTTCTGGGATTTTTTTCACCATCGTGAAGATGATGATGATGACGAAGGCCGGGAGGGGGGCCCGGCACGGCGGTGACGAAGACGATGCTGAGGAAGATGAAGGTGAGGATGATGAAGCTGAGGATGATGTGCTGATGAAGATGAAGATGATGAAGATGAAGGCCGGGAATGACGGTGATGCCGATGATGAAGATGATGATGCTGATGATGATGAAGATGGTGATGAAGGCGAGGATGAAGAGGATGCTGATGAAGATGAAGATACCGATGATGATGATGAAGATGGAGCTGAGTGTAATGAAGATGAAGATGATGATGAAGATGAGGATGATGAAGATGAATATGATGAAGATGATGATGAAGGCCGGGAATGACGGTGATGCCGGCGATGATGAAGATGATGAGAAACATGCTGAAGATGATGAAGAGGAAGATGATGCTGATGAAGCTGATGAAGATGAGGATGATGATGCCGATGATGAAGATGAAGCTGAGGATGGTTATACCGATGATGAAGATGATGATGAAGACCGGGAATGATGGTGATGCCGATGATGATAAAGATGAAGCTGAGGATGATGAAGGTGATGAAGCTGATGCTGCTGATGATGAGGATGATGAAGCTGAGGATGGTTATACCGATGATGATGATGATGAAGATGAAGATGCTGATGATGCTGATGAAGATGATGAAGCTGAGGATGATGATACCGATGATGATGATGATGAGGATGAGGATGATGATGATGATGAAGATGAAGCTGAGGATGTCAATGATGATGAAGATGAAGCTGATGAAGATGAGGATGCTGATGCCGATGATGATGAAGATGATGAAGCTGAGGGTGATGAAGATGATGATGACGATGATGAAGATGAAGATGATGAAGCTGAGGATGATGATAACGATGATGATGATGAAAATGATGGTGATGAAGATGAGGAAGCTGAGGATGATTATACTGAAGATGATGATGATGATGATGAAGATGAAGATGATGAAGATGAAGCTGAGGATAATGAAGATGATGAAGCTGATGCTGCTGATGATGAAGATGATGAAGCTGAGGATGGTTATACCGATGATGATGATGACGATGATGATGAAGATGAAGCCGATGATGATGATGATGAAGATGAAGCCGATGATGATGACGATGATGATGAAGGCCGGGAATGATGGTGATGCCGATGATGATGAAGATGATGAAGCTGAGGATGATGATACCGATGATGATGAAGATGAGGATTATTAGACTGATGATGATAACGATGATGATGATGAAGATGAAGCTGATGAAGATGAGGATGCTGAGGATGGTTATACCGATGATGATGATGAAGATGAAGCCGATGATGATGATGATGATGAAGACGAAGCCGAGGCCGACCCCGGGGCCCCGCCGGCCGCCGGCGCGCGCGGGGGGGG